AGAATAGAATAGAATAGAATAGAATAGAATAGAATAGAATAGAATAGAATAGAATAGAATTCTTTATTGGCCAAGTGTGATTGGACACACAAGGAATTTGTCTGGTATATGATATGTTGCTTCATAAAATCATATACCACATTCTTACAGAAACTATTTAATGTTTCTACTCCAAATTTTAGACATCTTCTTCCATTTGTGGAATATTCTGGGAAATTACAGAGTAGAAATCAACCCAATGCTTATGTCATGCCCCTGGTGGAGACTGACTCTGAGGGAGAGGAGGAACAGTCGGCAGGGAGTGGAAGTGTGGCTCTGGAGGTTGTGGAGGAGGCTGGGGAAGGGCAGAGGCTGGCTGAGCAGTCAGAGGAGGACCCAGGGCCATCCTCTCTCTATCCTAGGGCACGCAGGGAAGAGAGGATCAGGGGAAAACAGTGGTCTACTTGGGAGGAGGGGGCCATGATCCTTTTCATGGGTTGCAGGTGTGAGATCTGCATAAGAGTTTGGACCTGCGTGCTAACAAATGCTGGAGACAAATTAGTGTTTTATTCCTAGATGAGGTTTATCTTGGTTGGCATTCTTCTAATGTACTGTACCTGGTTATCTTTTGAAGTTTGTAATTATTTATCCTGGTCTGTCGTGGAACTTTATTCAGTGAGGTTTGCTTTTAGTTTTTGCTTTGTTATCTGCTCTTTGAATTTGAACTGTGTTTCTTTCATTTAGAATGTTATTTTGAAAATAGTTTAATCTTCCACTGTGAACAATTAAACAGTGAAGCCAAGTTGAAGGCATTAAAGGACCTTTATTTACGTTTTGGTTTTTGTTATATTTTTGATACACTCGGGGTCATCACAGCTTGAATCCCTAACAATTTATGCTTACCTGTGGGATTTTGTAGATGTCCAGCAAGGTTGCCATGTGTTGGGAGAGGTCAGAATCAGTCCCTTCAATGACAACGAGCAGATTCTTCTGTCTTCCACATTTGTAGTTTGGAATATTTGCCTCTCCAGAAGAGAGCCGATCCACCGTGGCTTCAGCATTCATTTTTGCATTGAAATGACTATCATGGAGGTCGTAGCCCAGGGAGATGTTGGGTAAGATCAGAGAATTCTGGTTGATCTCCCCGACAGAAATCAGGAAGGACAAGAGATACCAAGCATTTAGCTTTCCATGCCTGCAAAATGGATTATGAACCCCTCATTATTCCACATTTAAGAATAATATGATCATCATTTCTTGCTTTCTGGACTTAAAGCGGGGAAACTAAAGATTTTAATTCATGAAAGCAAACATGATGTGATAGAAATCATTGAAAATTGATTAAGATCACCCCCCTCATACACCATGGGTATATAGGCTACAATGTTTCATGCATAATTTAAAGAAGGAAATGTTCAGAAGAGATTTAACAGATAATCTGAGTTGGAAGGGATCTTATAGGTCATCTAGTCCAACCCCCCCGCTCAAGCAGGAGATCCTACACCATTTCTGACAGATGGCAGTCCAATCTCTTTTTGAAAGTTTTCAGTGATGAAGCTCCCACAACTTCCGAGGGCAAGTTTATTGTTCTGTCAGAAAGTTTCTCCTTATTTCCAGGTTAAATCTCTCCTTCAGTTTCCATCCATTATTCCTTGTCTGGCCTTTAGGTGCTTTAGTAAATAGCTGGACTCCTTCCTCTCTGTGGCAGCCCCTCAAATAATGGGGCAGTGCTATCCTGTGTCCCCTGGTCCTTCTCTTCACTAGACAAGCCAAGCCCAGTTCTTGTAACTGTTCTTCATATGTTTTAGTCTCCAGTCCCCTGGTTGCTCTTCTCTGTACTTTTTCTAGAGCCTCAACATCTTTTTTATAATGTGGTGACCAAAACTGGATGCAGTACTCTAGGTGTGGTCTTATTAAAGCTTTATTAGTACCTCACTTGATCTTGATTGTATCCCTCTGTGAAGGGTTGTTAAATGGTGAACTAACTTCTGCCAATCTCTTATTATAAATTTGAGTGGTAGCTGAGTGTAAAATCCACAATGTTTCTCAGTTTAAACTTGTCAAGGTCAAGAAATACAGATCTAAACTAAGAAGCAAATAACAGAAGAAATCCTGTATGCCTTCCTAAGAATATTTTAAAAAATAGAGTTGGAAGGGACTTTGGAAGTCTTCTAGTCCAACTCCCTGCACAAGCAGGAAACCCTATATCATATCAGACAAATGGTTGTCCAATCTCTTCTTAAAAACCTCTAGTGTTGGAGCACCCACAACTTCTGCAGGCAAGTCGTTCCACTGATTAAATGTTCTATCAGGAAATTTCTCCTTAGTTCTAGATTGGTTCTCTCCTTGATTAGTTTCCATCCATAGCTTCTTGCCTTCTGGTGCTTTGGAGAATAGCTTGACTCCGTCTTCTTTGATATTGGAATACTGCTACCATGTCACCCATAGTCCTTCTTTTCAGTAGATGAGACATACTCAATTCCTGTAATGGTTCTTAAGGTTTTTTTAAGCCTTTGGTCCCCTAATCATCTTTGTTGCTTTTCTCTGTACTTTTTCTAGAGTCTCAACATCTTTTTCATATTGTGGTGACCAAAACTGGATGTAATATTCCAAGTGTGGTCTTACCAAGGCATTATGAAGTATAAAGTATAAATAGTGGCAAATCACTTCACATGATTGTGATTCTATCCCTCTATTAATACAGCCTTGGGATTGTGTTGGCTTTTTTTGGCAGCTGCACACACCGCTGGCTCATATTCAAGTGATCATCCATCAGGATACCTCGTACAGTTACTACTGTTGAACTAGGTGCCACCTATTCTATATTTGTGCATTTGCCTTTTCTTGCCTGAATGTAAAAGTTTACTTTTCTCTACATTGAATTGCATTTTGTTAGATAGGGCCCAGTGTTCAAGTCTGTTAGGATATTTCTGTATCTTGAGCTTGTCTTCTGGGGTGTTGGCTATTCCTGCTAGCTTGGTGTCACCTGCAAATTTGATGAGTTCCCCTTCTATCCCCTCATCTAAATCATTGATGGGCCTAAGACAGAGCCCTGGGCTGCTCTGTGTTAGAACTAAAACATTAGCAAGTAAATAAAATTGAAGCTGATTTTAAAGATTTTTGGAAATCCTATTGTAGCTAATGTTGGTTTCTAACAATAACTGTATCTGCAGCTTGTAATATTATTTTCTTCTTCTTTCACATTTATTCACAGATTAAATAAACCAGTACCGGTTCTGAGATCTAGATATTTTCATTTGAATTTTATCATCCTAAATAATTTCAGATTTGCAATAGTGGCGAATTTCAGATTATTAACAAAAAGTACCTGCTTGCTGACCATTTCCTGATTTAAGTCATGTTTGAGGCATTAGAAGTCCACATATGTCATGTCTATCTTCCTTAATAAAAATTGCTGTAATTTTCAGTGACTGATCCAAATCAGTTTGCAAAAGCTGCAAGTGAATTTTGCTCACTACTGCTCCCTCCTTCCTTGATCACCAACTTTCATATTTTGCATCTCCCAATTTCTCTCTGCTGATCTATGTTAATAATCAGCAGTTAGGTGGAAAGTTAGTTGTCTCTGGGATTCTTTATATGGCTTTGAAAAATCTTTTGCAGAATCAGCTTCAGAAAGAGGAGCTAAATTCAGCCAAGGGGAATTAGGACAACCTTGAACTACGTCACCTATGGTTGGACTTAAGCGTAGTGCACAAAATTATCTGCTACAATGTCCTACCAGTCAATGATTACTTCAGTTTCAACTGCAACAATACAAGAGCACACAACAGATACAAACTCAATGTAAGCCAATCCAAACTTGAATGCAGAAAGTACGACTTCAGCAACTGAGTGGTCAATGCCTGGAATGCACTACCTGACTCTTTTGTTACATCATCTAACCCCCAATCCTTTAACCTTAAACTATCCACTATTGACCTCACCCCATTCCTAAGAGGTCTGTAAGGGGCATGCATAGGTGCACTATCGTGCCTACCGTCCCTGTACTATTGTCTCCATTTATTCGTACCTATTTCCTGTATTCTTACTCATGTTTATACTTATACCTATTATCTTGTAGGTGATTGACAAAATAAATACATTAAAAATAAATAAATATAACATTTGGTGGGATTGGAACACACATTACTTGCCAAGATGAAGTGGGGAGGAGAAGGACACTGCATTAACCCTGCCTTCTTTCTCTCATTAAGTTTGAATATCAGAATTGAAATGGTACCTCATTTTTTAAAGAAAGTCAGGGCCTCCTAAATACCTTACCAATTCCCCTCCTCTCTCACCTTGGTGATCCTTATTTCCCCTGCAAGTCCTCCTATTCCTATGCCTGAAAAATTGAACCGAATCCATTCCCAAGTTAGGAAAAGTGGGAGAAGGCCATGTTTCAGACCACATAAAAGAAAGTGTGAAATTACTACATACAGAAAAGATCAGGGGAAGTTATCAGTCTGAGTTTTGGAGGTTGAAAACAAAACAAAACAAAATAAGAAACCACCATTTTGGCCCTAGGGCCAATTTTCAGGGGATCCCAACCTCATATTTTGTTTTTGTTTTTTTTTTCATTTTTTTTGATTGATTGATTTCTATAGCTAATCATCTTGATAGGTGACTCTGGGTAATATACATCCTAAAAACATAAAACAATGCAAAATAAATATATATATGGTTGCCAAGTAAAACTAAATGAGTGATTTTTTTTAAAAAAAACCAGCTGTAAATAAACTAGCAACTTCATTCCCAAGCAGAGAAATTCAATCTATTCCGATGGCATATTGACTGACCAGAGAAAAGGTTGCCTGGAGGGAGTCACCTTGAAGCTGTAAAGTGGACACAGAGCTTTTCTTGCTGCAATGACCCCACCAATAAGATAGTTGCCTGGTCTGAAATAGGTTCTCCAGTTTTCTTCAAAATAATGGGATGAAATCAAAGGGCATTTTTCCTTCTGCATCTCACAGCTTATCTGGGGAAATAGGGACACAACAAAGAGAATCATTCTTCTTGTGTCTGGCACTGCCATTCCCTCTTCTCAGAACAGATACAACAGAATGACAGATCTTGGTGGTTTTCTTGTTCAACCCAGCTAAAGAAGATTAGTTTTTGTTCAGGTCTGATAGTTTTGGTGATAATTTTCCTTGATGCAAAGGGAATCCAGAAAAAGGTTTATGGCCTTTCCAAAGGGGACCATAGGAAAGCAATCTTTCTTGTGTGCCTGGGCTTCAGCTCTAATTCTCACTGGTCCTGAAGGCACTTAAGGATTGTTCTTTAAGGTTTGAGGGCACCCTCCCATGCTGTTATTCCCTTCTGTTCTAAGGATGTCAAATCCCTGGAGATTTGTAAAAGAGACAAAGCAAATTATTATCATTTTAAAAATCTCAGGACATCCCGAATTTGCTCAGTGGTTATAAGTGGAGCCTGAGAAAACATATTTCTAAAGTTCCCAGGTGTGGCTTCCAAAGTTCCCAGGTGTGGTTTCCTCTTCCCCAATGTTTTTATTTTTTTCTATATGGAAGAAGCTTAGCTGCCTTTTCAACCCAGAGAATGACTCTGAAGTACATGGCATTTTAGGATACTTCAGTGGATCCCAACCTTTTGGGCATGAGGGACTGGTTCCATGGAGAGTGGATTTTCCATGGACCAGAGAGGGAAAGGTTTTATGTGCTGCCTGCATTCCATGGATGGAGCTTCACTTATTTGCATGGTCCAATTTCTGGCATTAACATGGCCTCGTGCCGGTCCACGGACTGGGGGTGGGGACCAGTTTTCTGCTGTGTTGCTGGGTGGGCATGGCCTAGTCGACCTCTTGCACCATGGTGGGAGGATGTTTTTGCCCTCCTCAGGCTCTGGAGGCTTTCCTTAAGCCTCTGGGAGGGCAAAAATGGCCTCCCTGGGCTATGGAGGCTGGAAACAGGCCCATTCCAGCCTTCTAGAACTTCCAGGAGGCCTATATTTTTGCCTTCCCCAGGGTTTGGAGGGTTTCCTTGAGCCTCTGGGAGGGCGAAAATGGCCTCCCTGAGGGAGGCCTGTTTTTCCCTCTCCCCCAGCCTCCATGCGGGCCTTGCACTTACCTTGCATCCACATGGAGACTCCTGGGAGGGATGGGACAGGGTGGGAGGGTCCAGACAGGGGTGGGATTTGGCAGTTTGCCACACTGACCATAACTTTAGTTATGGGTTCACCTGAACCTGCGTGAACCCATAGCAGCCCATCCCTGGTGGGGACCCCTGAGATAGTTGACCTCATAGATTTGAAGCCCTTGCATAGGAATAGGTTAAGAGGACTAAAATTTGATAGTTGTTATATTTTGTGACAACACTGTCAAGAAAGTTCCATTCTCCCCATAGTTCCTTTCTAAATGCTTCCATTCAAATGGGGTATGTGTGTGCACATAAGATGACACTGGCCACTCCATAGCTGACATTCTCATTCTCTTGGATCTGAGGAAAAAATCTGTAATCACCTACCTTCCATTCAGGTCCTGAAGCTGTGGAGTATGGAACAGCTTCGCAGGGCTGCCCTATCGGCATTGTGCTAACATTCCCAGCATACCTATCCCAGGTTCTCTCTATAAAATCTCCCAGGCTCTTTCTTAAGACTGCTGGATCTAAATACCACAAGAAGACTGAGATATAGGACAAATGAACCAAGGATCCTTTCAGGTGCATGAGGACAGCCAACAACTTGTTTTTAAAGGGTGTGTCTACATGGACCCACCTTTTTTTCCCCTTATTTACTCCTTTTGTTTAAAGCAGATTGGCTTATTTGCTCCACTTTTGAAGTGGTGCTTTTCCTCTTAATCCACTACAGATTCTGCAAATCAGATTCTTCCCAAACTGATAGGAAAAATCTTTGAAACCCAACACTGCTTCATAGGTAATAACTAGCACCTTGAATCACATCCAGAAGCATACTGGCATCCAGTGCAACTCACAAGCAGAGGTGTCACAGGTGTATATTGAGGCAAACCCACCATTGCTCACATCATTGCATTCTGGGCCAGTGGAAGGTTCCAAATGGACTTCTTGTTCAGTCTCATGCATGTTACACCAATAGCACTGAAACTTATATGCCACTTTATAGTGCTTTACAGCCCTCTCTAAGCGGTTTACAGAGTCCGCATATTTCCCCCAACAATCTGGGTCCTCAGTTTATCCACCTCAGAAGGATGGAAGGCTGAATCAACCTTGAGCCTGGTGAGATTCGATCTGCGAAATTGCAGGCAGCTGGCTACAGCAAAAGTAGCTTGCAGTACTGCACTCTAACCACTGTACCACTGAGGCTCAGTATGGTGGCTATGGTAGTTGACCTGTGAAATGACATGTCTGTGATTAACCACAAGGCAATCTGATTTAAGGAAGGGCACAAATTGAGGTTTGCAAAGGTCCGGTTGGTCATAACTGCCACCTGGTCTTCAAGTTGGAACTATGAGTCCAAGAAGATCCCAGAGTTGCACACTACTTTTGATTGGGGAACTGGATCCCCATCCAGAAGTAAGACTGGAAAAATATCCAAACCTAGATGGTTCCAACAACCACAGGTACTTGATTTTGGTAGGATAGAGACCTCTGAGTTGCCAGGGTTGGTTTCATTCAAGTCTAAACAGCTACTAGTCCTGCAACAGAGCTTTGAAAGCCTCACTAGGATGGCTTGGGGTTGAACATTGTAATTCAATCAGTGGTGGGATTCCAGTTTTTTTACTACCAGTTTTATGGGCATGGCTAGGGGCATGGCTAGGGGGCATGGCCATGTGACTGGGTGGGTGTGCCTTTTTTGCTTTTTGCAGCACCCCTCCTCCCCATTTTTTGGGCCTTCTGGGCCTCAGGCAAGCCTTATGGGGGGACCTTTTTGCTCCCAGAAGGCTTCCCTGGGACTCCGAAGAAAAAAAATGGAGTATGGGGAGGCGAGCACCCCCCCACGCTTCATTTTGGGGCCTCCTTGGGACCCAGGAAGCAAAAAATTGGAGGGGGCAGGCGGGTTGCCTTCCTGGGCCTCAGGGAAGCCTCCTGGGTGAAGGAGTAAGTAAGTGAAGGGAATCCTGCCACAGCTGATCATAGGAACTTCTGATTGTTGGGAGGGAAAAAAAGAGAAATACCTTAAGGAGTGACTGGACGGACTAGTGTCAGGTGGGCGGGTGAGTGAGCATCGGGTGGGTGGGGTGGTAACTGGGTGACTGGATCAGGGGCATGGCCAGCCTGAAATGACTACCAGTTCAGCAAACCCACACCTAATCTTTGCTACTGGTTCACGCGAACCAGTGCGAACCAGCTGAATACCACCACTGAATTAAATGTCATCAGTATAGTGACAATATCATACTCCAAACTGGCAGATGACTTCATCCAATGGTTTTGGGTAGATGTTTAACAGGCTAGGAAAGAGGATCGAATCCTGTAGCACCATGTATAGGAGTGGCCTTGAGAACAAACTCTTTATTCCCCAATATCCATTGGAATTGGCTGTGAAGGAAGGAAGAGAATGATTGTAATATGGTGCCCTATCATTAGGGGTTCTCTGGGCTTGGCTGTTTTCTTGCAGACATTTCAATACCCAAACTAGGTAACATCATCATTGCTAGTCATCCTATCCAGCACTAGCATTCATGATGCTACCTAGGTTGGGTTAATGAAATATCTACAAGAAAACGCCCAAGCTCAGAGAACACCAAGAATCACTTCAACTTTGAGCTACAAATATTCTCCTTTTTTGGTATGCTGGAATCCTTTCTGAGCTGCAGGATGTAGAAGATAGCATTCTCAAATTCTGTTGAGGTAGGTGACAATTTTTTTAAAAAAAGAGGTTCCCTCAACGCAGCTTTTGGTACTGTCCATGGGGTTTTCACAGCAAAGATACTGGAGTGGGTTGCCATTTCCTTCTCCAGTGGATCACATTTTGTCAGAACTCTCTGCTATGACCTGTCCATCTTGGGTGGCCCTGCATGGTATAGCCAATAGCTTCATTGAGCTATGCAAGTCCCTTCACCATGACAAGGCAGTGTCCCATGAAAGGACGACAGAGAATGAGGTGGCCGAAACTGCTGGAAGTATATGCAAGAACAGGGTACATATAACCACACATGGTGGTCCTGTAAAAAAGAACAGGAGTTTTGGTATAGGATCCAGATGTGGCTAGAGGAAATGATGGGACTAAAAATAGAGTATAAACCAGAATTATGTCAGAGAAGCATAGCAAAGAAGAGACATTTAATAATTCATGTTATCACGGCAGCAAGAATGATGTTTGCCCAGCAATGGAAGGTTAGAGAAATTTCTAGTATTGCTAGATTTGTCAGGGCTCCAACAAATCCACCCCCATTCAAATCATAAGTCTCTAGACGCATCTCTCAGAGTAAAAAAAAAATGTTTTATCAGGAATGGCCATGTTGGCTGTCAGTTCTGGAATTCATAGCTGCCACAGAGTTGAAGAATGTGGGGTGTGTGTGTGTGTGTGATGTTATTAAATAGAGCTTAGAGGAAAAAAAAGTTTAGTTTGAAAGTCAAGGTTACTGAGTGTGTTGCAGAAGTAATCACAGCTGCAAAGTAATTGGTTCACATGATTAATGAGGTGTAGAAAAGTGGGTGGGGGTAGGTTGAACTTTGTGGGAAATCTGGAAATGATTTCAGTTCTGAAATTGCACAGACATTGCCAGTTCTGTTTTTAATAAAGTACTTAGAGATTATGTCTATCTCAGAGTTACTGAGTAAACAGGAGTCATACTGGAACCGTGACATTGGTGTTAGCTGGGTACAGCTGACACTAAAATACATCATTCATTTCCCCCTTGATGGATGATGGATGATGTAATGAAGGAAAATTAAATGTATAAAGATTCAATATGTATAAATGTATATAAGATATATATTACATATATATCATAAGCTATAAGACAAAAAGATCTGTCAAAAACGATTTCACCATGTTCAATGTTTTTAAACAATGTATTTAATAAAATTCTCACCAACCCCCACCCACCCAAAAAAAGAGAATGAGGTGGCTGGATGGACTTACTGAAGCTGTCAGTGTGAGCTTAAATGGACTCCAGAGGATGGTAGAGGACAGGAAGGCCTGGAGGAACACTGTCCATGGAGTCACGATGAGTCAGACATGACTTCACAACTAACAGCAGCAATAATAACAACAACACAGCTTTTTGTTTTAGAGGCATTTTATTCTGTTCCAGAATTGAACATTTCAAAATAATGGTGATTTGCTTTGCCTTCATAATGAATCTCCAGGGATTTTCCCCATGATTGCCTTTGAAACAAACATCAGTACATCTGAATATTGGATGATGCCTTGCCTCCAGGTGTGAAGGCATATCATCATATATGCCTCCTGGACCACCAAGAGTTGAATCTGAAGACAAGGATACATGAAGAGCGTTTAGTATCTCAGATCTCCTTCAGATATAAAGCTTTCTTTGGGTTTCCTTGCAATCAGGAAAGTCTTCAAAGCCTCAGAATTGAGCTTGATCTGATCCTTTTTAAAAATGGCTTCTCATGAGCCAGTGGCTATGCCAGAAATGCACATAAGGGTTCTCCTTTTTCTGCTACTGCTTGCCCAGGTATCCTGGGAGATGCCACAAAGAAAATGCCCCTTGACTTTAAAAGAACATGGAAAAAGCTGGAAAAATCATTTCAGGCCAGGCCATTATGTCATTGGTGGACTGATTTCAGCAAGGAAAGCTGTACAATCAATTTACAATTTCAGGGTGATCCCTTCCAGCAAATTTTTCCTCTGGTGAGTCATTATGTGGAGGACTCCTTGCTGTCAATCTATTTGCTTATGATTTAACTTATTTCCTTTACCTAAATCATGGAAATGACAAAGGTTTGGGGATTTATTAAGATTAAGAATTGCCAAGATTTTTGGTCACCGCGATGTAAAAAAATATGTTGAGACTCTAGAAAGAGCGCATAGAAGAGCAACAAAGATGATTAGGGGACTAGCGGCTAAAACATAAAGAATGGTTGCTGGAATTGGGTATCTCTAGTTTAATGAAAAGAAGGACTAAGGGGTGACAAGATAGCACTATTCCAGTGTTTGAGGGGCTGTCACAAAGAAGAGGGAGTCAAGCTAATCTC